CCCATCGTGATAACGCTTTTTGATTTCCTGACTGCTGGTACCAAGAGTGTTGACTGTGGAGCCGAGCAAACTGAAGCTGTGCACACTCTCAATCTCTTTGTCATCCATCCTGAAGCTGCTAATTGATCCAGTGGCGAGAATCTTTGTCTTCTTGACATTGAGCCTTAGTCTACACTGAAGGCTGCAGTCCTTGACCCTTCGCAGCAAGTGCATGAGGTCCTCCTCAGTTTCAGCAAGCAGGGTTGTGTCATCTGCATAACGCAGATTGTTAATAGATCGTCCACCAATCTTGACCCCACATTTCTCCTCATAGAGCCCAGCCTCCTGGATAATCTGTTCTGCATATAGGTTGAAAAGATATGGAGATAGGATGCATTCCTGGCGTACGCCCTTCCCAATTTTGAACCATGCAGTGTTCCCTTGCTCTGTTCTGACGACTGCCTCCTGGTCCAAGTATAAGTTTCGCATTAGAACGATCAAGTGTTCTGAGATTCCCATTCTTCTCAGAGACAGCCATAGTCTGTTATGATCTACACAGTCAAATGCCTTTGCATAGTCAATGAAACACAGATACACATTCCTCTGGTATTCCCTGCTTTCAGCCAAGATCCATCTAACATCAGCAACGATATCCCTAGTACCACGACCCCTTCTAAACCCAGCCTGGACTTCCGGCAGTTCTCTGCTGATGTGCTGTTCTAATCGTTTCTGGATGATCTTCAGCAGAATCTTGCTTGCATGTGAAATCAATGACACTGTTCTGTAGTTTCCACACTCAGTCTGGTCACCTTTCTTTGGAATGGGAACAAATATAGATCTCTTCCAGTCAGTTGGCCAAGTGGTTGTTCTCCAGATTTCTTGGCACAACTTGGTGAGCACATCCAGGGCAACATCTGTTATCTGAAATACTTCAATTGGTATACCATCTATTCCTGGGGCCTTATTTTTTGCTATTTCCTTCAAAGCAGCTTGAACTTCTTCCTTCATCACCATAGGCTCTTGCTCATATGTTATTTCTTTAAATTCCTCTGTATCTGCCAATTCCTTTCTATATAATGACTCAGTATATTCCTTCCATCTAAAGAAAAAAATACTAGAAAGATGTTTACTATACAAAGGTACTTTGTCTATAAGGATTCTTTTAAATTAGGAGTAACACTAAGAAGAATGGGAATTCTAGACACTTAACTGTGCTCTCTTTAAATCAGGTGCACCTAATCCACGCCACGGAATTTTCAATGGCTTTCATACATAAATGAAAGCTGAACAACGAATTAAGATGAATTGACGTCTCTGAATTGTTTTGCTGACAAAGAGTAATGAAGATCCCATGGGCTGCCAAAAGAACCAGCAAATCTGTCTTAGAGGAGGTGTAGCCAGGGTGCTCCTTAGAGGCAAGAATAGGGAAATTACCTCACATGCTTTGGGCATGTTGTCAGGAGGGAGCAATCCTTGGAAAAAGACATCATGCGTGGAAAAGAAGAAGGTCAGTGGAAGAGAGAACATCCTCAAGAAGATGGACCAACATACTGGCTGCATCAGTGGGCTAAAGAACATAAGGATGGTGCAGGGTACGGCAAGGTTTGATGTTTACATGCTTGCTATGAGTTGTCGTCAATCAGAAGGTACCAAACAAGAAATGACCTTTGAAAGCATAGATCACTTTGTTTTATTATACTTTTAATTGGCGGGATCACTTACTTGACTCAATTAAGAAACTGGGTAATTACTACTGTGTATGTGTAAAACAGCACTGTCATTTATCAGTTATAGACAGTTATGAATGGTTAAGAGCTGCAATAATTCCACCACAACACCATCTCAAGTGTGTGTGTGTATATATATACACACACACATATATATATCTGAAGACTGAGGCGATATAAAAAATTTTTGATGATTTATCACTTAAAGTTATTTCCCCCTCACCCAAGATTTCTGTTTCCAGTATTGCTATGAAGGGACTTTTCATTATTAACTGACTTCAAAATAGGGAACTTTTACTAGATACTAGAGAAGGGCCAGTTTAATCATCTACATCTTTGAAAGCAGAAAAGTTAAGTCAGAGAGATTCAAAGCACAAAAAGGACTCAATCCATCATCTTTTGACTTTAAAGACTAAAGAAGCAGAGAACAATTACCGTCAACAGTTGTTGAGGATGTACCTCAGTCCCACAAATATATGAAATTAAATACTTCCAACAAACAATGAGACTGGAAGTGGATTCATCTTCAGAATCTCCCTAAAGAGGCTAAGTGATGCTAGGAGCTCTGTCCAAACAACTAGCTCAGCTGCACTGAACTTGGACTTCTGACCAATAAAAACCATGAAAAAGAAATTTGTGTTTCCTTAAGCCACTAAGTTTATGGTAATTTGCTATTGTAGTGATAGAATACATACTGATTTTAGAACCTCAAGTGAGGTGCTTTAGAAATATACTAACTATGAAGTGGTTATAGAAGAAAGCAGTAGGTGAGGGCTACAAGAATTTTAAAGAGCAACACAGAGAAAGCCTAAATTGTCTTGAAAAGACTGTTAGTGGAATATGGACTTCAAAGACACTGCCAGTGCGGACTGATGGAATACCTGAACAAATCTAAACTAGCAGGATACTTACAGTAGCATCTGGCTTTTATCTTCTATCCTGAAAATACGTTTTTTTTCCCCCCACTGGACTGGAGTGTTTAGATAATCTATATTGTATATAACTCGGTTACTTTTAAATAATATATTTTAACTCTTAAGTATTATACATTTTTGCCAATTAGGCCCTCGCCTAATTGGGATTAAGGGAACAGCTGACAAAGAAAATACATAACACATGCATTATTTTTAAAAACTATTGTATGTATGATCTTGCTATTTGTTTCCGGGTTTTTTTTGTCTAAGTCATTACTGTTTCTTGCAAGGACTACTAGAGTAGGCCTCTAACTGGTCTTACTACTTCTGTCCTTGTCCTGTCCCCTATTCCTAAAGTCTATTCCCATCACAGCAACACTCTTATCCCCATGCTTTCGCCTCTTCTGGGTGAAGACCTGTTGTTTCACCTATAAGACCCTATAAAATAGAACCCCATTACCTCATTTTCTGTTACTCTCCTTCTCATTCTATGTCAGTCACACTAGCCTTTTTATTCTCCTCTGAAACACTCTGGGTCAAGGAATATGAGCAGCCTCGTAATAGAAAAAGGCAAGAAAACAGGTCTCCAGCCCTGCTTGTTTTCAATCCTTTTTGGAATTCTAACCTCCGGATAAGATAAAACTGTATTGTCTGTGGGAGTCCCTTATAGCAGTAATAAAACCTAATACACTACTCTATTTAAAACTGCAAGCCCCAATCTTCTATCGCACTTTCTTGCTTACTACTTCTTTTGCAAAACACATGATCTTCTAACAAACTTTAAAATATTTTTTAGTTCCTAACTGTAAATTATGTAAATATAAATAAATTGCATAAAGACAAGGATTATCTACTGGGTTTACTATTTCCTGGAGCCTGGTGCATGGTTACATATTCGTATGATTATGTAATTGGATTATAAATTTGTAAGGATATTTTAATATATAAGGCTATGTGTTAGAGTACTAACTCTGTATGGATGCAACTGCATTTGGGAATGGTGTGTAATTACATTAATGAGTTTGTTTAGTGCAAAGTATGATCTGAACTCAATCAATGCTGTGCCCAAAATGGCAGACAAGATATAGAAGCAAACAAGCACATATGAGGAAGAAAGGTGAAACCTCAAGATTGACAAGGAACTGAACATTAGGACTACAAAAGCTGAGATATCGATCTTCCCCTAGAGAAACCCAGCCCTCTTTAATGGCAGTGTCCTGAATCCAGACTGTGAGCTCTTCAGCTGTGAGAAAATAAATTTCTGTTGTTTAAACCATCTATTTGTGGTATCTGTTACAACTGCACCAGTAAGAAAAAACACAGACATACAGCTGTGTTAATGATGCTAATGACAAAAAGGTCACTTATCTTAAGAAAACACTGGGTACTGAATGGAAATCCAAAGTCTCTGTAAACGTTTATTAAAATTAATTTTAAAAAACCAAAAAAAAAGGTTGGGTGTAATGTGTGAATGCTCATAGTGAAAAACATTCACGTTTAGAGCTATATATTAAAAAGCTCTCAAAGCATCTTTAGTCTTTGAAATTTCTCAAGATTTTCTTCCCGATTGCATTGTTGTTGTTAAGTGCCGTCGAGTCACAGGCGACTCACAGCAACCCTAGGAAGGAGAGTCCTCAATGCTTGGGTGTCTTTCATCCTCTGTCCAGGTTCATAGGGTTTCCGAAGGCAAGCTAATTTTTAGTAACTCAGAAGACACTTCATATTTATATGTACCTATGTAAACACAGAGTTGGCCTAATGGAGATAAAGTGATGCTACCAAGCCAAAGGTGGGTGACTTCTAATCCGTGGCCCTCAGGCCTGTTTTCATTGTTTTTTGTTCAAACATTCTTCTAGGTCCTATAGCCCTGGTATGTCTACTTGCTATACAGAGGTAACTTGTGGTTGCTGTGAAGCTGAACACCATGACCCTGATGCATCAAATGCGATAATGGTTACCCAGGGCAGAGTGTGTCTGGTGGCACTCCCTGATTAAAACAAGCTTGGAAGCAGGAGTGGCATCCACTTCCATAACAGCTTGCCTCTGAAGCCCTATGAGCCTGGAGAAAGGAAGAAAGTCACACAAGTGTTGAGGACTTTTGTTCCTAAGGTCGCTATGAGTCATCTATGACTCGACGGCACTTAACAACAACATGTACACGTGCACGTTCTTAACATTCTCAGTGGACTATCATATTTTATCTATTTACTCAGGAAAGAATCAACAGAGTATTCCCTTCCTGAAAAAGTGTACTAATATTTGAAAAAGTCTCAAAAATATGAACTTTGAGGAAAAAAGCCATTGGCAATATTAATAATTAACTTATATTATCTTCATTTAGACAGTAAACAGACTTTTGGTGTTAGGAGGAGATGCTTACCTGTTCCAGGAGTAGCTGTGGTAATTCCAGCAAGAGGACTCTGCATTACTGAAATGTTTGACTATATGAAAACAAAAGAAAGGGTTAATGATACATATGCAAAGTCCTAACCACAACAGAACACTTAAATATTCTTATCTGTTCCGCATATAGATTGAAAAGGAGGAATGTGGTACCAGGATTGAAGGAAGACTCATCAATAACCTGTGTCATACTGAGGCCATAACTTTGCTTGCTAAAACTGAGGACCTGAGGCATTTGCCACAGAAGGTTAAAGACTGCAGCTGTCAATATGGATTGAACTCAATATCAAGAAAACAAAAGATTCTCATGACTGTGCCAATTGGCAACATCATGGTAAATGGTGAAGACTGTGATTGTTAATTGTGCCAATTGGCAACATCATGGTAAATGGTGAAGACTGTGATTGTTAATTGTTTCAGCTTGCTTAGCTCCACAATCAACACTCTTAGTACTAGCAGTCAGGCTATCAAAAGATGAACACAGGGTCGCAAGTGATTCAACAGCATAAAACAACAAATATTCTTAATACAGAATGGGAGCTCTGATCGCCTAGTGGTAAGAAGCTGCACTGCAATCTTAAAGGCATGAAGTTAGAATCCATTAGTTATTTCTCAGGAGAAGAAAGGACAATCCCTTCCCATGATGTTTACAGCCTTTGAAAACACACCGAGGGGTCAGCCATGGGTTGGTTCTGACTCAATGGCACACAGAGTAATAATACAGAAGAGCCCGTTTTAACTCATGGTGATCACCTTTCTCCCACAGAGCAGCTGTAGATTCAAACTGTCAATCTTGCAATTAGCAGTTCAACCTACACTGTCACCAAAGATTCTTAGCACACTCAAAAAGTGCAGGTGAAAATAATACGATAGTCTAATCCAAAATCCATGATACATCCAAAATACTACTTCTCAATAATCAATATAAAAAAAATTAATGAGCTCGTTTTATTCTTTTTTCTTAGTCTTCAAAATTCAGCATGTGTTTTATACTTGGCATAACTCAAGTAGGACTAGCTACATTTCAATTGTCAACAGTTGCACTTGGCTAGTGACTACTGTATTGATCAGGGAAAGTATACAAATACTAGAGAAAGATGGTAATCTATAATGATCCATGGAAAGATGGTTTCTCATTCATAAAAAAATAATATCAATGTTCAAAACCTTGAAGACTACCCTACATTTTACTTCAAAAGCATAAATATTTCTCCAAATCACAGTTGTTGTTTTTGTTGTCATCTCACTAATGCCTAGAATATCAAGGTTCATGCTTTCCATTTCTTTTTCAAAACTTCTAGCTTTCCAATATTTATATTCTATGCTCCAACTATTAAAAGATGTTTGCAGCTGTTCCTCTCCATTTTGACTGATCTCCAATCTGAGCTCACAGTGGAAATGTATTAATATAAAGAATAATCAATTGATCTGATACATTTTGTTTACACATTTTTAAAAAGAATTTAAACTGTATTTTTTTTTTTTGATTGTTGAACATTTTCTTGCCCTCCACTTACCTCTCCCCCAGTTCTCTCCACAACGCATCCCTTGTTCCAGATTGTGGTTATAGATACGATGTCTAATCATTTTATATTCCTTTTGGAGAGTTTTTCCCCTCATCTGTTTTAACGTTCATTATCTAGCCACTCCTTTCTCATTGTCTCCCCAAACCCGCCATGTCTGTCCTATTTTATAACAGTGGTATTACGTAGTCCTTCTATGACTGAGATACTTCACTCGGCATAATATCCTCCAAGCTCCCTCATTTTGTTTAATGTTTTACAAATTCACGGTTTTTCAATATTGTATAATATTCCATTGTGTGAATATATCCTAATTTTTCTATCCATTAATTGATGAGCACTTAGCTTGCTTCCATCCCTTTGCTATTGTGACTGACGCAGCAATAAACATTTGAGTTATGGCTCTGGTTTCTTTAAGGTATATTCCCAGTAGTGGTACTTCTGGGTCAAATAGTATTTCTATTTCCACATTTTTGAGAAAGCTTTCCGTAGTAGCTGAATCATTTTACATTCCCACCAGCAATGAAAAAGAGTTCTCCACACCTTGCCAGCATTTAGTGTTTGCCTGCCCTGTTGAACTTTGCTATTGTTGCTGGAGTGAGATGGTATCTCATAGTTGTTTTCTAAGAACAAATCTGATAGAAGAGAACACAAGTGTCTGTAAAAAAGACTAAATTTCCTACCTGAATAAAAAACTCACAGTTTTCAATTCACCATCAAGAGTCATTACAGCAGGAACAGCACAGTAGAGAAAGTATAAATTCTGGCTCTAGATTTAAGACTTGGTTTAAAGTCTGGCTCTATCATACATTAGTTTCTTTACCTTTATTAAATTAAGACTTTGTGTGATTTCTCATTAGTAAAAGGAAGTGTAAAATATCTACCTCAGAGAGTGTACAAAAGGATTAAAGGAGGTAATATATGAGAAATTAATGGGGGGAAAGCTCCAAAAGGAAAGGAATATTAGTCTTATTGTAACAAATCATTCAAAAACAAAAGGTCTCAAATTGTACAAATGTCCTATTGTTGCCATTCAGTCATAAGTGACCCATAGCGACCCTATGAATGAAAGACCTGAACACATGTATAAGACCATGCACAAATATTAAACAATTTAACAAGCAGAATAACAAACCACAATAATATTCTACATGAGTATTCATTAAATTAAGGTCCTGGGAAGAAGCCCTGGTAGCACAACAGTTAACTGTGTGGGTGATTACTGAAAAGTTGGCAGTGTGAACCCATGTTCACACATGGAGTGGCTCTGCAGGAGAAAGACCTGGAGAACTACTCCTGTGAAGGTTAAAGCCAAGACAATTCTACCAGGAAGTGCTATCCTGTCACATGGGGTCACTACCATTAGAATCGGTAACATTCAGCAAGAAGAAGAAAAGTGACAGGTGGAGAAGATATACCTATAAAAACTAAAAGGTAAATATTTGAGAAAGTAACTGCAGTTCTACTGGCATTTTTAAGTACATTTCATGAAAAAAATTTAAGCAGATTCTGTAATATGTGTACTTACTCCTTAGCCTGTGTAATACAGTCATACTAAAGTAGTAAAAATCTCAAGAAACTACTTCATATTGACACTTACTGTGTAGTCACATAAATACATGAAATCATTACAGAATTAAAAGGGTATGTATATCACCTGTCGTTTTGACGTTAAAGGTGTTGGTCCAAGTCCTGGGCTGGAAATGTCATCATGTATACTTCTAACTGGTGGAGCACCACTTTTATCTTTATGAGCTGGAACAACTGGCTGTGGGGGTGACCCACCTACATGAAAAAAAACTATAGTCAGGTGGGAAAATGAACAAGATCTACAGGTTACATTTTGAATAATTGGTGTCAAAATAAAATTTTATAATATAAACAATTTTTAGAAAACATATAACCATTGCCTTTTCTAGAGTACGTTTTAATATTTTAAAAAATTAATCCCATTTGTGACTTGGAAGTTGATGCTAAAGCTAGATGTATAAGAATAAACATAATAATCTAATGTGTAATTTGTGGAGATTAATTTCTAATGGTAGAAATAAATGTAAGAGTGTAATAAAGATATGAAGAACTAACTTTTTGCAACATAAAGATATCTTTACAAATTAGAGAATCAGCAATGTCAAATATTGTGAAGCACCCCTTACCCTCTGTAAAACAAATACCTGAATCTAGGCAATACAGTATATGCTACTGAGATTCTGAGGACAAGCTTTGGAACCACACTGAGCTGAGTGTAAGCCCCTACCCTACCCCTTGCTAGCAAGAAGTTTCAGCAGCTCATCAAATTTATAACTAGTTTCCTATTCTGAAAAACGTAGCTACTATTACCACTGGCAGTACAATGGCTAAAGTATTAAGTGGCTAACCAAAAGACACAGTTCAAAATCACCAGTCACCCAGTGGGAGAAAATAATAGTTGGCTTCCATAGAGATTATAACCTTGTAAAACCTCTGGGGAGTTCTACACAATCCTATAGGATTGCTGTTGCTGAGTATTAAATTAGCAAAATGTCACTGAGTTTAGTTAGCCTGTTCTGGTGCTAAGAAGTTGGGCTGTCAACCCAAAAATACACAATTCAAATTCTCCACCTGCACCATGCTCATGTGGGATTTGTTGATTCAAAACCAACTCATAGCTGAACCTCCAGCAGGTTTCAGAGGCAGTAAACTGCTTGGCAGGAGGCTGCCCATCTGCTATATACAGAGCAGATGGTGGATTCGAAATGAGTGCCTTTGGGTTGATAGCACAACTCCTTACCACCAAGCTATCTGTGTGATTCAGAGCCACTGAAATCCTACTGGCCTTGATGGCACATAACAAAAACTACCAGCACCTATCCATAAGGTTAATTTAAACAAAAATGAAAGAAAATTTTAAAGAAAATAACCAAAAATGCTTTGCATACTATATGCCTATTAAGTGCTTGATATATATTAGATATAATTATAAAGTAACGAGAGTGGAAATAAGAAAACAGAAAGGCCGTACAGAAAATTTTCTCACGTTACCTCAAATATGAAATATAAAATTTCTCCTTGATTTTTAAAAAGGTAAAAAAAGGAATCCACTTCAATATTATTTTAAAGGCAATTTAAATGAGATGAAAATTTATGAAAAGGCCAGCTGTGGTGCTGGTTTAAAAGTTGGTTTTTCTAGCCATTACAGTGGCTCCATCTGGTCTCCAGCTACCTTAACTACAGACACACAAGGTCTTGCAAAAATCAATACCTGTGGGACTAGGATAAGAGAGTGCTTCTCACTCTGAGCAGTAAGACTTGAGGGAAACTAGAACAAGACCCCAGTGAGAGTGAGACCCCCATGATGGTAAAACCCTGATGAAGGGCGAGACCCTAGTGATGATGGTGGGGAGACTGTAGCATTGCTGTGGAGAAATTGTGGCAAAGTAGGACCAGAGGAGACCTCAAATAAACGCCATAATTAAAGATTTTGCTAATCTTGCCAGATAATGGAAGGAAGGGCTAACTACTGAAATCAAACCAGAAGCCTGAACTAATTGAGAAACTGTGCTTTGGGATTGCTGGGCTAAAATTTGGACAGGCATTGGGTGATATTCTTTGCCTCCCCCTCTCTCCAACTTACTTCCCTAACAAACGCCACTCTCAGTACCACAGTCTATGAGTTAACAATGAATAAAGGAACCACTTGCTGCTGATAGACCACTATGAGGATGGGCTAGTGGCTTTTTATCTGCTTTCTGCTCTGGGGCATTCAGGAGCTGTGCTATTTTTCACTCCCTCTAGCACTTTCAGAGAGACATTCAAGACACCATATATGGAAAGGTTAATAATTTATAATTAGAGGCCAAGTACTAATAGCAAATCCTCAATACTTATAGTATACCTTGCTAAAGGAGTCCTGTAAAAGATACAATTAGATAACAACATTATGTGCCCACAATTGCAATGTCTGGGTAGAAATTTCCCATGGTTTGTCTAACAGATTTTAGAAATACAATCTGTTGTTGTTATGTGCCGTCGAGTCGCCTGCGACTCATAGCGACCCTATGTACAACAGCCCTAAACTCTGCTCTGTCCTGTGCCAATCGCACTGTCTCCGACACTCCCATCCCAATTATCCCAGTCACTGAATCAATCCACCTCATAGAGGGCCTTCCTCTCCTGCGCTGTCCCTCCACCCTCCCAAGCATGATGTCCCTCTCTAAGGACCGGTCTCTCCTCACATGTCCAAAGTATGTTAGACGGAGCCTCAGAATCCTTGCCTCCAAGGAGCCACCCGGTTTAACCCTTTCCAGGACAAATCTGTTTGTTTTCCTAGCAGTCCATGGTATTCTCAATACTCTTCTCCAGCACCACAGCTCAAAGGCATCAATTCTCCTTCTATCCTCCTTGGTCATTGTCCAACTCTCTGATGCATAACAAGTGACTGCGAAGAACACGGCCTGTATGAGACGCACCTTAGTCTCCAGAGAGACACCACTGCTCTTCAGTACTTTGGAGAGAGGGCCCTAACAGCAGACTTTCCCATGGCAATGCGCCTTTTAATTTCCTGGCTGCTGGTGCCAAGACTGTTGACTCTGGAGCCAAGCAAACTAAAGCTGTGTACAATCTCAATCTCTTCACCATCCATCCTGATGCTGCCAATTGGTCCAGTGGTGATTATATATTATTTTTAATATCTGAATTATTTAAATTTAGTTGAAATTAAATGAACATATTGTAAAAGACATTTGCTGTTTATATTCTTGTAACATCTTTGTAATCAAAGAATCAGTTTAACAATGGCAGCTTACCATTGTGCCAAATTTAATGTCTTTACTCTTCAAACACCACCATCAGGACATAATGCCCTGCATCAGTTTCTGAGGCTGTAAATCTTTCTGGAAGGAGATTGGTCATCTTTCTCTCACATAGCAGCTGTTGGATCCAAACTGCCAACCTTTTGGTTAGCAGTCCCATACATATTATGCCACCAGAGTCCATTCATGGTACACAATATAATGGCGAGTTTTACAGTTAAAGGTATCTTAGATTGGATGAAATTTAGTAAGTTTAATTTTAATTAGTGAAATTACAGAATACCTCTACCTACAAAGCCTTTAAAAAAAAAATCAAAGACTGTGCTCCCCCCTGCCCAGGAACTGCTTTGATAAGGGTGAATGCTGTACCATTATTTCCTAGTACTTGTATTAATGTTGCTATTAAACTATTTTAAGCAATTTACCTACCTGCCAGTAAAGGTGATCTCATTTCCATAACTCCAACTGAAGGACCACTAATTGACCGGGGTTGTGGAGTTACTGGAGCAGGCAAATCTCCCATTAAAAATCCAGGTAAAAACTGAGCATTAACTCCTGACTTTGGAGAGGATGGTGAACCCAACATCATTGGCTCTGATCCTGAATGAACACAAAACATTATCATTAAGAACGTATCTTGGAAGAAAGTTCTAGCGATTGAGGTCGCTACAAGAGCAGCTGGCAGGAGGAGCCGTTATAAGAGAGCTGCTGATCAAGCTGGGTCAAGGTGACAACCTCCCAAAAGGCCCGGGACTTCGTGCATGCTGGAGCCCATGGGGGAGAAGTCTCGATGGCACTTAACAACAATAACAACAATAAAAACGTTTAACATTTTAACATTTTAACCATAAGATAAACAACCCAATTGAAAAATGGGCACAGGATATGAACAGACACATCACCGAAGACGACATTCAGATGGCACACAAACACATGAAGACATGTTCAAAATCCCTAAATCTAAGATGCAAATCAAAACAACTATGAACTATCATCTCACCCCAGTTAAAAATAGCAAAATTTAACAGAGCAGCAAACAACAGATGCTGACAAGGTTGTGGAGAAACTGGAACCCTTATTCACTGTTGGTGGGAGTGTAAAATGGTGCAACTACTATGGAAGGCAATATATCACTTTCTTAAAAAATGGTAACTAGAAATACCATTTGACCCAGCAATTCCACTACTGGGTATACACCCTAAAGAAACCATAACTGCCACCGAAGCAGATATATGCACACCCATATTTATCACGGCTTTGTTCACAATAGCAATGAGCTGGAAACAATCTAAATGCCCATCAACAAACGAATGGATAGAGAAGCTGTGGTATAGTCAAACAATGGAATACTACACTGCTTTGAAAAACAAGGAATATTATACAAAATGGGTGACCCTGGAGGACATTGTTGTTGCTGTTATGTGCCGTCAAGTCGCTTGCAACTCATAGCGACCCTATGTACAACAGCCCTAAACCTTGCTCTATCCTGTGCCAATCGCACTGCCTCTAACACACCCATCCCAATTACCCCAGTCACTGAATCAATCCACCTCATATAGGGCATTCCCCTCCTACACCGTCCCTCCACCCTCCCAAGTATGATGTCCCTCTCCAAGGACCTGTCCCTCCCTATAACATGTCCAAAGTCCCAGAATCCTTGCCACCAAGGAGCAGCCTGGTTTAACCCTCTCCAGGACTCCAGGATGAATCTGTTTGTTTTCTTGGCAGTCCATGGTATATTCAAATATCTCAGTCACAAAAGAACAAATACTGCATAGTGCCACTATGTAAAATAGGACTGGCAATGGGTTTGGAGGTGGAGACTGATAAAGATGGGATAAATTAGGCATACTGCATTGAAACAAATGACGGACAGAAACTGTTTAAAAGGGATATATGATCAGGTATTATTGTCAGGACAGGAGTTCAGAATGAAGGCTAAATAGTGGAGTGGACCTGGGGTAGGGATTGTATAAC